GAAGAGTTTACATCCAAAATATCATAAAAAAAATTACCCCCGAAAATTCAAAAGATTCTTTTAATTTTTAATTAATCATCTTACCAAAGTGTACACTGATTACAGATTTATACCACACTGAATAATTATCAAATGGAGAAACATTAAAAGCAATTACTCTAAGCTAATTAATTTCCTGATAATGATTTTAAATGATGTATACATAAACAATGGATCCATGTGTGTTACTTAAAAAATGTGTCCCCTCAACAATACAAACTAATTCTAAGTACTGGACACTGTTATACCTCTAATTAAATGATCAAATAAATATTTTTTTATTATTTTAGTAGATACACTCTTCACGCCTTTCAGGTAATCCAAGAGGAGTGTCTTTTAATTTTGTTTTAATTAAAATCTTATTCTTGGTCAACGATAAGAATTTGATTCAATTTCTGATAAAAATTCAGTTTTTGTCAGATTTGTTTTCTTTTTGATGCTTGTATACTTAAAATCCGAATATTCGAATCATAAATTTATATTCGAACATCAACTCATGAATATTCGAATATTCGTTGACATCCCTAATAAACACTATTATATATTCATTCTTCGTTGTTTTCTTCATTGTAAACGTGATTTATTATACTCCCTGCTTGAAAAGCAGGGGGAAAAGTATATAGTGATGTGCTGTTTGTCCATCCATCCGTCTGTACGTCAGTCCGTCTGTCTGTTATCCGTCTATCTGTTAGGCTTTGTGGTACCCATCTCTTATCCACAACTCCTCTTCTACCACTGAATGAAATTTAATAAGGCTTTCACTGAATCTTGTAAAATAGTGCCATTGTGACCATCTGTTTTATTTTTTAGATCTGACACATAATTTGGACTCCCTTAGCAAAAAATGGATACATGTATTGCCCTTCTTTCTAATATTGAAGGGTATACCCATCTTTTATCCGCGATTCCTCCTATACCACTGGCACTGAAAAAAATTAATGATATACTTTCGCAGGTTCTTTATTACATAATGCCATTGTGCACCTTTTATTAAACTTTTTGATCTGACATTGAATTTGGGTCTCCCAGAGCATAGCATGGACTTCGCCATTATAATTCTATAGGAGACGCGGGATATCGTTTATTGAGCTCAGTGCTCACAGTACTTCTAGTGTCTTTTTATCCTTTGGAAATAAAAATAACTTACTGGAAAGCAATTATTTAAATTTTTCTCAGGCATGCCAATGGATAATGTGTGGAACGTATATTTTTTTTAATTCAGGATGGAATTGAATGGAAACTGCTAGGGTATTCGGAACTCGTCGGCTTACTTGTAACTGGTAAAATGAGTGTCTAAGTTAACTTGGTAAATAAATGTGTGGGTTTTTTTTGGGGGGGGGGGGACCGAACTTCTTTGAAACAATATTACATTCCACAAGTCATTGAATTACCTTGACAAAAAACTCTGATTTTGAAATAATGCCTCGTATTTTTATAGCACCGCCGAATCCGTTTCTTATCCGGAACTGGTCAAACAACTGTATGTTTCTTTACGTTTGCAAAAATGTTTATCTATATCCACATTAAATGCATGTCGTTCATGTTTTTTTTATATGCTAACTGAAAACTTAATATCTTGATTTTCTTTTATAGAAGCCTGACATTTATCAGCTGTCCTGAAAAGAATGTTATTCAATTTTGGCATTATGTAAATAATGTAACGCGTCAACAAATTGTGTATCCCTTAGTTTTAATAATAACAAGTCCATGTGTTTGCTATAGAAAATACTGATTATATTTCCGAAGGAAACATGAAATAATTTCTGTAAAATGGAGGAAAGTCCTTCAGATGAAATACTAAAATCGTTCTTCTCTTCTCTTTGTGTTTCATACAAATTAGTTCTGGCTGCGTTAATCTGTGTTGCTTATGATGCAGAAAGACAATATCAAATCATGCAAGATATCTTGTTCAAAAAGGAATGTAAAAGAAAAGTGACATGCTTGTCCTTTACGTATTTTTTAAATTGAAATAAAAAGAAACAACAAAACTTTCAAATGCTCATTAATTTAAATTCCAATTGAATATTAGCCTTAATTTATCAAAAGTAGGAGCTAATTAAATATACTTAACACTATCAGAGGCATGATGGGATTCCATTTCCAATTCCAATATATTCATTTCCGTTACACAAAACATTTTCGATCAAGTAGAATACAAGACTTGTGGAGTGAAGATATCCTTAAAAAACGTTGGGTTTATGTGATCACAAATCATTGTGCATGAAATAATTGTGCTGAGTTTTATTGTTGAAAGTAACACAGTTTCTATAACAAAACATAAGATTATTAAAAGGAGTGGTGGTGGGGGGGGGGGCAAATAATATTACAGCTTAATTTTGCATTGTAAATTTAGATATCTGCAACTATCCTATTACACACAAATTAGTATTTTTCATTCAATGATTTAGCTTTGAAAAAGAATAATATCAGCGAGTAAAATAAACGACTTAAATACCCCCCTTTTTTTCACTTTCATGGCAAGTTGAAAAAAAATTGACATGAGAAAACTCTACGACCGGGCGAAAATTTATGAGGAGGGGTGTCTCTTTTATGAAATATAACTTTCAGTCGTAGGGTATGCCGGTCCATTAAACTCGAAAACTAAGCATCCTTTTCTAGGTTCGTCACTCCACTAAAAATACTAACCATTTAGCTTAGTAAATCAATGTGTCAAGGTTATCACTATAGTAAATCAAAGTTTTCAAAGCAATCATTATTGTAAATCAAAGTTTTCAAAGTTATCATTATAGTAAATCAAAGTTTTCAAAGAGATCACTATAGTGTCATAGTTATCACTATAGTAATTCAAAGTTTTCAAAGTTATCACTATAGTAAATCAAAGTTTTCATTATTATCACTTTAGTCAATCAAAGTGTCAAAGTTATCACCATAGTTATTTAAAGTTTTCAAAGTGATCACTTTAGTATCATAGTTATCACCATACTAAATCAAAGTTTCCAAAGTTATCACAGCAATTCAAAGTTTTACGATGGTAAATCAATTAACAACTAGAAGGTTAAGGAGACATAAACAATCCTGTGTGCTTCTTTCTTTATCTTCTCTGTTTACTCATTATCTATAAAGACCGCTCGTATATTACATTATGTAATTTCATAGCACCCCTTACGTATTTCCGGTGTATAGGTACTATACACATGTACAAAGTATTAACATAACGATGTAAATCAAATTGATCAAGGACTTTTAGATTTTACGTTTCTAGAAGAGTAATCTTTGCCTCTATGCAAATGGATTTTTTAAATTGAAAACCGTCAAGGTCAAAACTAAAAATAATCGAATTTATGGGGGAAAAATCATCTTTTTCTATTAGAAATGCTTAATCATATCGTGTCGCAACCCTGGATGAAGAAGAAATATCCTTGGTTAAGGAAACATCCTAGGTTACTTCCAGCAGTAATGCAAATGTGTATAAAATAGTGAGTGGGTCTTGCATTTATTATTGAATTTATAAAATAAGATATTAAATACGTAATGAAAATCAAGCAATAACCTCGTGTATGCTTTGTTTCGTCAATTTATGTGCTATTTGTGAATACCAAAATTTCCAAGATGTTAATGAGTGAAAATTATGGGCCATATCTGCACTTCAAATCATATTTCATTAACCAATAAATCAAAACTCGTTCAAACACAGGGCGCGTCGTTGAATCCAATCATCATCATTGTGACGTCATTCATGTTCGTGTATGATATATGGCTTCCTCATTATACCAAAACAATCAATTCAAGTCAGATGACAGAAATTAGGGGTTGATAGATTAGTCCTGATACTCTAGGATAATTTGGCTTGGTAAAATTCATTGACTCGAAGTATAATACGGTTAATGTCAATAAATATCAAGGTCATTCTATCTTGCCTTTGAACGTTGAACAGTTTTTTCAGAATTTGTCAGTACTTCGAAAATTGTAGATAGTTGAAAAAAGTGATATTTCAATACAGTATGCGATATGAAGCCCAAACTGATATCATATCTTAAGTGGATTATTATTTGTAACAATATGCAAATATATAGATGCAATTACAAACACATTTGAAGATCCTTTTAAATTATTTTTTAATGAGTACATTCATCTTGTTTTTGATCTCCCAAATCTTGATAAATTGTAATTTTATAAGAGGTGTATGTTAAAAATGTATAAGAAAGCAACGAAAAAAGTGGCACCAAAAAACCTAAATTCCATTGGAATTCACATCATATATTAGTTCATATATTTTTTATTTCAAATTAAGTATATAAAAGCATAATAATACAAAATCGTTTGTTTGCACCTATTAATTAAAAGACTTAAGTTTCAGTTTCTATAACATAATTGGAATAAGATTGTCACAGTGGGTCTGTACATATATGTTCAACAGTATGTTTTTCAGATGCAATTGATCTCATTATTCCCTTTTTCTTCAAATATGAAAGAGTATGAATTGGTACAAATAACCAATCAAGCTATATTATTATATCCATACCAAAATGACCTCTGTGATCGATGTCGATTTATCTGACCCACAATACAAGGATCTAACCTTTAAGAAAAACGGCCCGCTACATTGATAAGTACAAATTTAAAAATAGCTGATAAAATCCGATGGAAAGAAATTTGCATCTAGGATGAGATTAAAATGGTTGTCTGATATTATTTAATAGTTGGTTTCTCGTTTGTCGGCGATTGCCCACGGCTAACCTTCATTATATTCCACGCTTTTTCATTGCTATAAATATCGGCCTCCAGAGTCGGTCGATCAGTAAACCACGAGGATTTCGTACAACGATTAAGAGGGGAAAACTTATTTTGTTTTGAGTATATACCACTCTGACAGCTGAAAGTCTTATCCGATTTAACCAAACATTTATAAGAGTGGGTGACAATTTCTGACTTCCAAACTAAGCAGCTGAGCAAGGAAAAACACATTGGAAACAGAACGGGACCTTAGAGCAAAAAACTAAACGGTAAAAAGTTGTACTCACAATCTTAAGGAGATCGAGTACCTCTGAAAGAGAAAAACGTTAGAGAGCAGAGAAAGAAAACAGGAGGACCAACGAAGAAAAAGATCTTCGACATAGCTGCTGCATATAAACTACATTGCTGTCATTTAAAGACTTTGGGCAGAAAACCATTCAGAAAATGAAGATTGATAGTATATCTACCATTATAATTGATATATTACTTATCTGGGTAGGATTTATTTCTACATTACCAATCTCAAAGTTGTGCTATCTCACAGATATTACTTCCGGTCCATCACGTGTAATTACTTCTGGTGAGTGCGGACTGAAATGTGGATCAAAGGCTGGATGTCTAACATTCATTATTTGTGACATTGCTTTCTCTAAGACATGTACAATCTACAAACTTGCTTCCAAAGAAACATGCGGAAAAGAAGGAGTCAAATGCTCATACTTCATACAGGTAAAATCTATGCTAAAATTAATCTAATTTTTTTTACAACAGATTTTGTTTTTTTATGTATTAAATTCCAAAAACTTAAGAATGTTTAAAATAAAATTCATTCTATATTTTCTTTCCTTCTTCAGAACACTGTGTCCTCTGATTCTGGCGAAATCACGAAATCCTTAAGATTAAGTGAACAAGATATGATTGTTTCACCTGTTACCAAGACAACGACAACGATAACAAAAACAGTAACCACAACGTCTGTAGTGACATCATCTTTTCCGGCCACATCACCTGAGATAGAGACCGAATCAGAGACATCTTCTCATGCGACGTCATCGACTGCTGATTATGCTGAGACGACAACTGAAGTCGATGAATCGACTTCAGATGAAACCACTGAAAGAGCAACAGGAACTACAATTCTATCTCAAACCCTGGGTTTAAATCTTTCAACGAAGATTCCAAGAAATGAAAGCGCGATAACCGATACCAGTACTTCAACAACTAGTGAATCAATGACAACAGAAGTCCCTGCTACAACAAAGAGTATGAATTGCCCTGACCACCTTCCTAAGGAAATTTGTCAGCATTTAACATGAGACCTAATGGTGAATTACCTCTTTATTTCACTTCTGCCTTTCTAGGACACTTTTTGTTGGTAAAAAAATATTATTTGTGTTGAGACAAATCTTGGGAATAGTGTCATGTTAGAAATTGTAAGAAAGATATATGCTGGCAATATACAGTTCATGTTAGACTTCTTGTGTTTCTTATTTTTAAATAGTTAGGTTCTGTATAACCATTTCATATGAACTATAAAAATGTCATGTTTCAAATCGAAGTTCATTTTTCAAACATTCAATCTGTTGAACAAACGAAATCTGTGATACATATATATTATGTAAAATATTTTTGATGTTTTGATTAAATAAATTACATTTAAAGATAGAGTTTTTTTTATTCCACTTATTCTTTTTGAAATTGGAACCCTTCATATATTCAATTGCAAAATATAGATGCAAATATAAAATTACAGCAAAGTCTATGCAGTGCATCACTTTCAAAGTTTAAAGAAACCAGCCATGCCAAAACAGTTTTCCGCCGAATAGTCATCCACAATGGAGATTATGACATCAGCGAATTTCTCTTGTAAAAGGATTTTTCATTTTCTTTCAAATTATGAGAATTTTTCCTTGTTTATTTTTATTATTTTTTAACAAACGTAAAATACAATCATGCTGAAAATATTCAATCTATTGAAATATCTAGATTAGGCATGATTTTGCACAACATTTGATTCATCAGTTCTTCGAAAAGTGGAAAAGCTCTCAAATATTTGAGATTTGTTTGATCAACCTTAATTGACTCGTGTCTTATGTTACATTTTCGTCACATGAACATTTTTTTTTTCATTCTAACAATTTATATTACAAAATATATCGCAAATACCGAGCTAAGACCTGTTTAATATATTATAGTTTATTGACATCTGTTTCGTGTTTATATTTTTCACTAGAGAAAAAAAAAATCATTGGAATAAAAAAAAACAAAGCTTTCAGATAAAAAGGATTGAACAAGATTGCATCATCATCATTTTATCTAGTTTTGTATTTATTGAACGATATGAAACATATGGAGATAACTAACAGTATATATTCAAGATGAGAAGTCCATTAAACGATACAAAATAGGAGAAGAGCAAACACGGACCTCCAAAACATCAGAGGTGGGATCAAGTGCCATGGAGGAGTGAGCATCCCCTTTTGACCGGTCACACCCGCCGTGTGTTCCTTTTCATATTTGGGAAATAACAGAAATATCCGTCCTCAATTCAGTTTATAAAGTATGGACTTACAATAAGTATGAAAACCGTTAGTTAGCATTTGCTTCAATAATAAATTGTATTTGCTGACAAGGTCATTGTGTCAGCCATAGAACTTTTAAAATGATGACTTTAAACGAGACTGCTGAAATAACTGTATCATCAAATTGTTTGTCAATGATTTAACATGTTTTAGAAATTGTTACATGTTATATAAATTATACGTAGAACATGCTCTTGCGTATCAAATCAACTGAGATATGTAAACTCCGTATGCAGGTGATGAAAGTATATAGCTGCATAAGTAAGTTGACGATAGAAAAATGAAAGTCATCACGTTCATCATAGAGCTTGGTTGTTACATTACCATTAATTTCTTTTTCACATAAAATATCCAGATACGAAACAGATGTGTCAGACTCTGTGGTCTCTTTTATCTCAAGTTCACCAGGATATATCGTATCGGCATAAGAATGGAAATGACCATTGTTAATTGACAAATTTAATACGTCGTCGATATACCTAAATGTGAGTTGAAAACAACAGCAGGTGTAATCTTCTCTTCACGCATAAGATATAAAATATAATAGAATATTAGAGGCATTTCTCCAAGATGATTTCAATAGTCTAGTTAAAAATATACTTTTCTTTAGTTGTTTGATGAATACATATTCCTGGCATTTGAAAGATCGTTTACAAGTTTGACAAGGAGCACTCGTTGTGTCTGAACGACTAAAAGAATATGCTTACTGTGGAATCATCATTATTCGTGGGGGTCCAATGTTCATGGCTTTCGTGGGTAACCCTGACCCACGAATTTACATCCCCACGAACGTATATACAAACATTTGTTTTATTATTTGTTAAAAGTTACGATTACACAGACTATTTCATATCGTAAAATAACCGTGACCATTGTGTCCGTGTGATTGTGCATAAAGAAGACAATCTGTATATGGTTAATGACACACAACCAAAAGAAAAAACAAAAGAAAAAATATTAAGTATCAAAGACATCGATAAATATACACAATAAGTAATAAAATGATAAATATAACTGTTAAATTTAAGGTAGTGTTTACATTATAGTCCAACACGCTCAAATGTCCCTTTGATGAGGTCAAATTTCAGTGCGATTTTGGAGTGGGTGCTAATTAGCCAATTAGCATGAACTGGTTTCAGGGTAGATGTTTGTAAGTCAATTTTGGCATTGTCGTCGTTCACATTTAGAGATATAAAAACATGTTCCGCATACCACTGGTGTTCTTTACAATCACAGTTTAATTCGACATCATGCATGACTGTAATTTGTCAATGAAAGCCGCCGATACATTTTTGTGTTCACAAGAGAGATAACTTAAATAAGCAACATTGACGGAATCCTTCTTTCTTTTAACTTTTAAAAAACGAAATAGAACGTGTTACCAACGAAATAACGTCCCCAATAACCAGGAAATTTTCGGCTACCCACGAACATTGACCCCCACAAATAAAAATGATTCTCCTCGCTCCTCGCCTCTAATGTTTAAAAAGGGTCATGTTTGTTCTGGTTACTATCAGCTAAAATGGGCTGATGAATACGATAATATTCTTTATCTTCATATTACATCTGTATATCTTCTTCTGGACTTAGTGAGTGGTCTTAGAATACGCGTCTTTCCAAAGAATACTCATATTGTCTTTTTTTCGCAGATTCAAAAGTTAAGTGCGATGTTTTATGAATTCTAAAATTAAGTGACTAGGCCCCAAGACCATAAACTGAGAACAGACTTAAGTCAAATTTTTGATTTTTAGTATCTTCAGTTTCATTTCTTTTATTAGCTTAAAAATTTGCAATTGTGAAAAACATTTCAAATCAAATAAATGATGACATTTTTATCTTATAACAAAATTTGTTTCAAAAGTTATATCAATTTGAAATTCTAACTTAAGTCTGTTCTCGGTTTATGGTCTTGGGACCAGAACATTATCTTGTTTCAGCAAGCTGTAATTAAGTATTTACCCGAAATGAGTTTTACAGTATTTTAAGCTTTATTTTGTTAAAATATACACAGGAATTTTTAACTGCTTTCTTCTGATAAGACAAAAATATGAATATTTTTCTTTAGATAGTTAAGAATCTGCTTTTGTGCTATAGTCAACTGAGCTTATCTCTAGGCCTGATTCCAAATTCTACTTCAGATTAACTTCAATCCTCTCGATTATACTTTTAAATTGGTATAATAAACAAAGTTACAGGAATATTATTAATCAGCTAGATTCGTATTTCTTCTCACTTGTAGACCATTATTCACACAGTTAATATTATTGTCGACGGATTTTTCTGTTACTTTCCGATCATGACAAAAAGACTCGGCGGGTTTGAAAACTCGGCAAGGAATCCCCTCTTCTCTATGGCACCTGATCCAACCTCTGAATTTGCATGAGGTCTGTATTTGCCCTGCTCCTAATTTGTATTATTTGAATAAGTGTTTAAGCTCGATGAATAATGTTTGTTATCTCTCGATATTCATTTAATGACATGAATTTGTTCATAAGTCTGCTTTGAATCTGCAACTGGTTAAAAAAAATAAGATATTCTGGTTAAGTTTTAAATAATATAATAAATATACAGCGGTATTTAAATTTTTTTAAATTTATTTTGTTCATATTTGGATTTAGCTTGTAGATCAGAAGAGATTTGCAAATAATCTTCATATATTTTTTGTTTTGAGCATATTTCGAACAAATGTTTTAAAATTAGTTAAATCTACATACTTTTTAGGCCTTTAATTTGCCTTCAAAGTAAACCAATTCGGGTTATGTGCATCGTAAAGAAAACTTGAATATATACGAGGGTTGATCCAAAAGTAATGTCCCAGTGTCCATATATTTTATATTTGGCGTCATATTATCAAATACAATAATTAATATACCAAAAGATGCACAAATGTAAATCTAATTTACATTCAAATTTTAATTAAATAATGTTTATTTTAATTTATTTTATAGATATTTAATATATATAGCATAGGGGGTTCGCCGCGTCACAACAGAATGTCACATTTTCAAGTGTATTTTTTCTAAGAATGAAAAAGACAAACACATTAAGAAGATTCTAAAACAGCACCTAATCTCCCAATTTTCTAGGGTGAAAAAAGTGGTTTCCCATCATGGGAAACTTTATGGAAACCACATGGAAACCTCAAGTTTACATCATGTTTCCCAGTGGTTTCCGTAGCGGATGCTAGGTTATTCCGCCAAGTTTCCGTGACACGGAAACCCCCTACGCTCCGATTCCATAAGGTATCCCGAACCACGGAAACCTCTGTAAACCTGAAGTTTCCCGAACATCCATGTAGTTTCCCGTAATGGGAAACCTGAAGATTCCACTGGTTTCCAGAATCAGGAAACTTGATGGAATCGGAGCGTAGGGGGTTTCCGTGAAATGGAAACTTGATGGAATCTTTAGGTTTCCTTATACGGGAAACTACATGGAAGCTCGGGAAACCTCACGATTCCTAAAGTTTCCTTGACTCAAGAAACTATATGGAATCGGAGCGTAGTGGTTTCCGTGGAATGGAAACTTGATGGAATCTTTAAGTTTCCTTATACGGGAAACTACATGGAAGCTCGGGAAACCTCACGTTTCCTAAAGTTTCCTCGACTCAGGAAACCATATGGAATATGAGCGTAGTGGTTTCCGTGGAATGGAAACTTGATGGAATCTTAAGGTTTTCTTTTATGGGAAACTACATGGAAGCTCGTGAAACCTTATGATTCCTGAAGTTTCCTTGACTCAGGAAATTATATAGAACTTGTGTAGCACTTTCTTTGTGGCGGAAACTTGGTGGAATTATCTGGAGTCCCATTCCTGGTGGAAATTACTGGGAAACTTCAAGATTCCCCAACTTTTCTAAAGGAAGCAATGTGAAATAATGCGTATTCTTTTAAAAATCTATCAAAAATATTTATTACATGTAAAAGAAA